CCAGAACGAGCGTTTTGTGCGAGACTTCCTTCAAAAGTGAGCCGCGGAAGTCTCCAGAACGAGCGTTTTGTACCACGCATTATCATATGACACGCACGATCCTCGCAGAGGGTCGCTCCAGGTCAAACGCGTCAAACGCGATCGACGTTTCACTACACGTTTGAACACTTGGCACGCGCGATCCTCGTAGAGGGTCATGTTACGTGAGCTCCGGCCGGACCTGCGCCGTAAGAGTATAGAAGACACTTATAAAGAAGTGGTTTCGTAGGTGAGATTAAGTGGGTGTTTTTGGTAGGTGGTTTCTCTTGGTTTGCCTTAGGGGCTTTGCTTCTTTAGGATGTTTTTGGGTTGGACTTAGGGCTTCAATGGAGAGGGGCTTAGGGCTTCACTTCTTTAGTCTTTTTTCTTTTGCTTCAGGCTTCACTCCTTTAGGATTTCATGTGGTTGGGCTTCCGGCTTTGCGTCTCTAGGATGTCTTTGGGTCGGATAAGCCTTTACTTCTTTGGGGTCTCTTTTGGTTTTGCTTCGGGCCTCGCTCCTTTAGGGTTTCTTTGGTCTTAGCTTAGGGCTTCACTTCTTGAGGATGTCTTTGGATTTGACTCAGGGCTTCACTTCTTGAGGATCTGTTTTTTTTGCTTAGGGTTTCGATCCTTTAGGTTTTCTTTTGCTTCTTTAGGATGTCTTTGGGTTGGACTTAGGCCTTCACGTGAGGGCTCCTTTGGGATGTCTTGGGTTTCACTTAGGGCTTCACTTCTTCAGGGGGGTTGGTTTGCCTTAGGGCTTTGCTCTTTAGGATGTCTTTCGGTTTCACTGAGGGCTTCAGTTCTTTAGGATGTCTGTGGGTTTGACTCAAGGCTTCACTTCTTTAGGGTTTGGTTCGGTTTTGCTTAGGGTTTCGTTCCTGTAGGGCCACGGTTTCTTTTGGCTTGGCTTAGGGCCTTGCTTCTTTAGGATGTCTGTGGGTTAGACTTAGGCCTTCACCACCACCCCCCTCAAAAAAAGAACGCTTCTCAGAAACCAGTCCCCAGAAACCACTTCCCAGAAACCAGTCACCAGAAACCACTTCCCAGAAACCACTTCCCAAAAACCACTGCCCAGAAACCACTTCCCAGAAACCACTTCCCAGAAACCACACCACTTCCCAGAAACCACTTCCCAGAAACCACACCACTTCCCAGCAACCACTTCCCAGAAACCACCCCCCGAAACCACTCCCCAGAAACCAGCCCCCAGAAACCACTTCCCAGAAACCACTTCCCAGAAACCAGCCCAGAAACCACTTCCCAGAAACCACACCACTTCCCAGAAACCACTTCCGAGAAACCAGCCCCCAGAAACCACTTCCCAGAAACCAGCCCCCAGAAACCACTCCCCAGAAGCCACTTCCCAGAAACCACTTCCCGGAAACCAGCCCAGAAACCACTTCCCAGAAGCCAGCCCCCAAAAAACACTTCCCAGAAACCACTTCCTAGAAACCAGCCCCCAGAAACCGCTTCCCAGAAACCACTTCCCAGAAACCACTTCCCAGAAACCACCGTCCAGAAACCACTTCCCAGAAACCAGCCCCCAGAAACCACTTCCCAGAAACCAGCCCCCCAGAAACCACTTCCCAGAAACCACTTCCCAGAAACCACACCACTTCCCAGAAACCACTTCCCAGAAACCACACGACTTCCCAGAAACCACTTCCCAGAAACCAGCCCCCAGAAACCACTCC